TCTCGAGTCTCTCAGACATGTCTTTAGGTCTTGTACTGAGGAGGAGATACCGCTACTTGAGGAGCGCTTAGACTGCCTTCGAGAAGCCGGTCAGGTTCTTTGCCAAGTAAGCCGACATTAACAACCAGCAATTACAGTAGCAAAAGGTGCTAACAACTCCTTCAGCACTACGATGGCTCTGTTGTAGAGCTCATTTACGCAGCCAATGGTTCTGCAGCACGCATGGTAAACTTACTGGCTCAAGACTTTGGCTGTTTCCGAGATGAGCATCGCTACGAGGACGGCAAGATGATCCGCCTCATGAAGCGAGCTCAGATCCTCGTTGCTGATCTTTGGGCTTGTTTCAACGGCGAATCATACGGCGAGTTTCACGATATCGACAAGATCACCATGTTTGCCGATTATCGTATCCCTCAGATCCTCATGACCATGGGTGCTTTGTATTGTTCTCCGGCTGTTGCAGCAGCCATCAAGGACAAGAAAATGATCGAGAGTGGATGCTCGTGGGAGTTACAGATACGGGGTAAGTTATTGAACATACAATGAAATATTTCTTGTTTGCTAAGCAGAAACAGCTTGCAGTATCTGGTGTGTCGAGCTGATTCGACGAGAAATTATGCGTCAACACCCTGGCGCCCATGTCAATGCCATCCTTATAGACTTTTTCCTCTATGACAGCATGAAGGAGCTAGAAGCGGCTGGAAAGGAACCCATCCCCCATCATCGGACTAGAAGCATCTGGTACTAGACAGAGACCGCAAGGCCTGTTCCTCGTTAGACTTTGGTGTTTTTAAAAATTTGGAGTTTAGGTCATACATATGCTTTAACGAGTTCCCATTGAGTTTATAGAACAATTGACGAAAGTAAAGCCACATCGGCAAGCAAACATTATTCTCCCAAACGCCCTGCTCCCTACAACGTGATTTAGCAACTGGATAAAAGAACAGGTCAAGCCCCTACGGAAGTTGAGTTGAGAATCTCATCCATATGCGCCCTTTCGATGCTGTTGCCCTTGCTTTGTTCCTTAAGAAGAACAGCAAGGACCTCGATAGGGGGTTGTAGACCTAGGCGGTCCGCCCGCTGCCAACGCTTCATGCGAGACATGCCGATGCAGGGCTGTGTGGATTAGCTACAGGACATCCATGCTGAGTGGCAGGCTGACTTACACCATATTGTGAACTGACATCGAAGTATCGGAGAACTCTCTCACTTTGGGATACACCCTCTTGATGTAATCGTGGAGTAGTCCACTGGTTTTCAATAGACTTCCAGTACTTCTTGATCTGCGCATCTGTGATCTTCTCCGCCTGCAACTCCAACTCGGACTTCTCAGGCTCTGGAGCTGTCTCGGTTTCAACTTCTTTCTCGACAACCTCTACCGGCTCAAGCTCTGTAGCCTCAGGTTCGTCGACAACAATTTCCTCTGGCTCCTGCTTCTTTGCATGCTGACTGGGATCGATCTTTGTGACCGAGGCCGAGATGGTAGACTTCTTGGCATTCTTTGGCACCGGCTTTGTCACTTTGTTCGAGAAACTCAGTGTGGACTGCCCCTTGGCAGCCGGGCCCCGGCTGCGAGCATTGGCAGCGGATCGTCGAGTTGTGGGCATAGTGGACTCAGCTTGTGAAGCGAGATGATGCTGTTGAGCTATAGGTGGGTGACGTTTAATGGTGTGTAAGTGAGGCCGAAGTAAATGTAATCAAGTAATGCTGGCTGTACTGTGAAGATGTGCTAGGTGGCCGAACTAGTGGTCTGGGAGTGAGTGAGCAATCGCTTTTTGTATGGCGATTGATGATGTTAATTCTGGTTATAGTTGATTGACGACCAGCACAGGGTCAGCGACAAGATTGGCTGAAGGTGCATGACGACGGAGTGCAAGCCTTAAGATTGGCGGGGCAACGCGAACAGAAGCGCGAGATCACGTGGGTGACATCATGTTTCGCGATTCTTAAAAAGTCTAGGGAATGAAGCAGTAGGTAATAGTGATGTATGCTCCTATGATAATAATTACTAGGCAAGAGGGACTAGCAGCATGAGTGCTTTTCATTAGATAACATCTAGAACCTCTTTTGATGGTTTACCTTCTAATGCGGTCGCTGCCCCTCATGTAAATCTCGTTCAATGGCACATGTATTAACCGCCAGTGGCTTCCCGGTAGAAGGACAGGCTCCTGTTTGCACCAGCTGTACAAAACATCTCGCTTCTGACCGTCTTTGGTAGCCACTTCACTGACCAAAGGGCCTTGTCCGTCTCGCTATGCGTGGCAACGCAAGCGGTACGCTCAATTGACCACACTTTGACCTTTCCATCCATAGAACCACTCAGTAGGTACTCTCCAGTGTCGCTCCAGTCGAGGGAGGTGATCCACGAAGAGTGCCCTGTTAGGTTTCCTACATGCTCTCCGTGCTTCATGTCGTAAAGTGCAATGATCCCAGCATCACCAGCTGCTGCAAGTCGGGTGTTGCCTGGAGAAAAGGCAACTGATCGCACAGGCTTCGCAAGACCTAAAAATCGTGTCAGCGAAATAATGTGGAAGAACTCAATGCGGCTTACCAGATAGTGAGTACAAGACTCTTCCTGTGTCGTTGTTGAAAATGTAGATGGATCCGTTCTGGTGTCCGCTGGCAGTGTATTTACCGTCACGACTCAAGTCCACTGACATGCCAAAGCTTCCTGATCCAGCACTTCCAGTCTCGTACTCTCGGATCTTGGACATCTTGTCGTCCAACACATTCCAGACGTTGACGCGTCCATCGTTGGTTGTGGTAGCAAGGTAAGAGCCATCCTCACTCAATGCCATCGCCCAGGCCTCGCCGGGCTTGGATGAAGGGCCCGTGATTTCACCGCTCAAGCTCCATTCACCAGTGTCGTTGTCGACTTTCCATACCTTTACCTCACCTCCAAATCCAGCACTCGCAGCAACATTGCCGTTCCGTGAGGTGCACACATGGTGACAGCCTAGCTTGTGCGCATCTGAGATGGACTGCTTGAGAGGGAATGAAGCATCAGTGGTATCGTGAATATGCAGCGTAGAGGAGCCACTGCCTGATATCACGGCTTTGGGTGTAGTCGCAATAGAAAAAATATCGGTGATATGGGCTATGCATTCTCAGTAAGCTTGCTGTCCGAGGTCTTGCGAGCTTCTTGTCGCCCCGCGGCGGGGAGGATATGCTCACCATTATCCACGGTATGCGAGGTCAAGTATTGTTTCGACTAATAAATCAGTTTCCATGAAGAAATTTGGAGTGTTCTTGTCAACAGGCCTTACCATCTCTCCAGCTTCGGATCTGAGTACGTTTCCCTCACTCTTGAGTATGACGTTGTGTATGAATTAAAGTGCTTGGTTGGGAATGAACTGCGAATCCCACGGGCTTGGTGGGGCATCAGAGGGTCATCAATAAAAAAACTCCAGAGTCAAGGTATAAGAGCCAAGCACATACAGCACATCAGTTTCTATAATGATTAAGAAAAAAGTACCTTTTGGTAGAAGCAGACTATATGTAATTGTATAAGTGATGGTAGTGTTCGTTGGGCAATTGAGAAATAAATAAGAATACAATGGGCCACGAGAGAAGTGTCTTCTATATATATGCTCAGAGCAACATATATCAGACCATCACAGTTGTTTAGATGTTTTTTATTGTTCATATTTCTACAAGGCTCAAGCGAGCCAAAACGCGCATGGTATGCATGATCTCGTCGTGACTATACAGACTCTTGTTACAGTGTTGATAAATCCAATGTTCCTTTTCTCTTCCCTCAGACCGGTCTATCGGTAGGGTAATCCTGTCGCCAGATTTGCTTCATTTCTGCAATATGTTAGGACTCACTGCTTATCATAACTGTGCGAGCATATGTAATATTTTACCTTCAAGACAAGTTTGGCATAACCTATGTGTGCGCTTAGGTTGACCACAACCGGGACACTTGCACAGACTGTTTACGTCCTTCAACGCCTTGCCCGCCATTTGCCTAGATCGCTTCTTTGAGTGAGAGACCTTGTTCTTGGGTACAGCTCGTAGCACAGACTCCCAGATATCGTCGATGGTGGGGAGGTTTAGAGAAACGCCGGGGATCGCAATCGATAAGGTCGGTAGGAACTTCTGGGTAAACTGGCGGAAAGACACCGCAGAAATAAGAGTCGGAGAAGATAGTCGGGGGAGGAAAGCGGAAGCCATCTTGAATAATGGTATATCGAATTGAGGAAGATAGTGCTATATCGGATTCGGTGGTTCAATCGAAGCCGAAGTCGGAACAGAGGCACAGGCAGAGAGGCCTTTAGAGCAGAATCAAATTGAATTGATCTAAATCCAGATATTCGGTCACAGGTGGCTGTTCCCGGTCGAAATAAGTGAGCCGTTGGTTGTCGAGCTCGAATTGGAGTCGCAATGATCAAAATGCGCGAGGCTTCAAATTCTGATGCTCAAAAGTTTGATGGCCTTCAAACCAATCATGTCGACGCACAGACCCGCTTAAAAAGGGAGGATTTTCCCTCGGACTCTAGCTTTTTCATGCATACTTGCATGTCTAGGTATTTTCACACCCCAATTCATCATTATTGCTCTTATATTATTCCCATTTAATTGATCAGTTAAATCTGTATTATATGCAGAAAACCCCCACCTTAATTGGACTTAATCTCGAAGTAGAGTTACAAGGAAGAGCCTAACCACCACACAATCTGACCCTTTTGTTGTCGTTTATCTCTCCACCTTCAAAATAGTATTCTTTGAGCGGCACAGCCCTCCAACGGTCATGACAGGTGTGTCAAACCAATGAGGTTATAATAAAACCACGATACCTTCAATCTACTAGTGGTAGCACTGAAAGTGGCTGATAACGATAGTGAGCTCAAAGTCTTGAAGATACAAGACACATAGTGAGGCTTTAATATAAACCTCCTGTACGTGGGTTCAAGTGGGTAGAGTGATCCGTTGGAGGGCTGTACCGCTCAAAGGGTTATAGTCTAAAAGTTTCAATTTATCCTCCAATCAAATAAAAAGGCTATGTGGCTCAGTGGTAGAGCGTTTCCTTTCGGTCCTGGCGGCGGCGGCACCATCCTTACAGACGGCGGCGGCGGCACCAACCCTACAAACCACTGGAAAAGGTCCTCGGTTCGATCCCGAGCATGGCCAATCTTTTTCTTTTTCTTTTCTAGGTTTCTTGCTTGCTCATTTCGTCGTTTACAGAAGTCGTGACCAGTGGTAATCAAGCTGTCCTTAACTAATGTCAACAAAATCGAGCCTCATGTATTGAAGTATCTCACCTGGACTGTTCCAAGATACTAAGATACTGAACACTCGATACTGATTTCACCTTCAAAATGCCCGCTGCTACAACATCATCTAGGATGGAAATAGTAATCGATAATGATTGTAACCGTACAACAGTGAAGGGCGCCGACCTATCAAGGTGTGGCGTGTGGGAAGTACATGGCGCAGGCCGGGCTTGGGAGACAGCAGGACAACTCAACTGTGTATTTATTAGCTCATAGTCTGTTAGAACTTTCGTATCCTGTAGTAATAGCTATATGCCTCAAGTACTATAGCCGGCTAGGATACTAACCTATTGCTCAGGCTTGCTGAGCTCTGTCAAAGGTCCCTCTCCCCCGAGTACCTGGCAGTAAGCTATTATTATCAGTGAAGGAAGCATGGACCGCAATTTGGAGATTGATGATAATCCAGCATTCAGCTAATAACTTGTTCGTCGTTAGCCTAATCTTCCTTGATGATAGAGGTCAGTCGGTAGAATGAAAATCTGCCTCAATGAAGGCTTGACGCTATCCAGTGATCGCGGCGACACTCGTCATTTACACGCTGATCATATACCAAACAACTTGAACTGATGGTTTTAATGGAATATTGAGCTGCAAAAGATAATTTACAATGATTTAATATTGAACCATACAAGAATTACGCAAGATGTACTCGATGGATTCACGGTGTAGTAACCAATGCAATCCATACAGGTACTTAGTGTATGGATGTGAAAACACGTTCGTATTTACCTGACTAAAGCAATTCTAGAGGGACCGAAATAATACGTGCTGGAACTCTTCCATGATGCTATCGCTGATGAGCTTGATGCAATTTGCACCGCAAAGAGGTCAGACTTCCAATCTTTGAAAGGGGAGTCAATTGGCTCGAGAAAACTGTTTACAATCTTTATAGGTCGAGTAGAACTATCAGCATACGGACAACCTGGCCAGAAAGAAGCACCAGGAGTGCTAACTGGCAGCATACGGGTAGACAGAAGCAATACATAGGGAGTGAGGACTTTATTAGCTAGAAAGACAAAGATGGAAGAGTAGGGGTCAGAGAGGAGAGCTCAAGATGGGAAGTAGCTGGTTATCGTGGCTACCTCGTTGGGAAGGAGCTGGCTGTCGTGACTGCCTCAAGCTGGGAACAATCTGGGTCAGGAAGACACACCAGAATGTCCGGCCTTTCTTATTTCACCAGATTCATTGAACAGCAGAAGAACAGTGTCTAATTGTTACGCCCAAACCCATCTACTTCAATTCTACTGTTTTTAAAATGAGTCTTTCTTCATCTAGAGTTTGGGGGGGAGAAGAAACTAGCGATGCCACCTGCGTACCTTTGTCAAGTACCGATGGGACGGCGGTCGATCCGTCCTTTGGTGAGTTGCGTCAGTCCTTAGAGACAGCTAAGGATGGTAGTGACGACGGAGCTTCCAACGAGCTCTCCATGGAATACGACAGCGATAGCGAAGACGAATCGCCCTCGGGCGATGATCAACCAGTCGAGCAACATCCTGTTGTTACAGTCGAAGCATGGATACAAAACTTCGATGAAATGCACCCGGTTCCAGATACTGATGCTGACCTACAGAGATTCGAGGGCCTTACACGTACCTTGATTAGTCGGCTTTGTAAAGAAGCTCGGTCTGGAGATCTTACTGACTGGTATAAGCGTCTGCCACTTGATAGAGACATGTCTCCCCCGATGAAGCAAGTACTGACTAAAGGGAATGCTGATGAGATAGCTGGCCACATTCTTCGCCGTGTTCCTCGAAAGACAAAGAAAGTCCTAGGAAAGCACGATCTACAGCTCTTTGACCTTTTGAGCTTACCAGAGTTCCCACCTGGTTGTCCTTACAGCATCGTCTATTTCGATATTGCTGTACAAGTTGGAATTGCTAATATCGAGTGGCAGAAATCACGACTGGTCACGAACCACGCAACTCGGCTCATCAAGGCGTGTTCGAGGTTCAACCCCTCGATGAAATTCAAAACATACATCGGCTCAAGTACAACTGTGAAAGGAGGATGGACTCGTCTACGCCATCATGAACTCGAATCCGCTCGCTCGAATGGTGAGTCGAACAAGCACTATGGCTTCACTAGACAAGCAGATGTTGTTACCAATTTTCGAATTGGTGGTCTTTTTACTCCTCCATCGTTACTCAGTGCGACGCTCGATGAAAATTCCAGAGAGCTCTTCTCTCTGCTTCCTGAACTCTGGGAAGGCATGCTGATGGTTTATCTCGGAACATACCATATGAGTCAATTCAGCCCAGGTTCTTACAACGCTGAATTTCACACGGCTTCTTCGTACGAACTAGTCAGAAGAATGCGCACGAACCTATCACTCCCAGACTTACATGGGAGCACATTGAACGTAGCATGGCCAATCTTGCAGGCCATGCCTCGATATATCTTTGGATATTGTACCAATGAGACCTGCAAGAACAAGTCTACAAATGTGCTTTTGTATTTCCCAGACGAAATCAACTCGGGGGTCTGCGAAGCCTGCCAAAAACAGAGAGCTGCAGCAGAAAGCCTGCTCCATGCAGAACAACAACTCGAAGAACAAGACGACCAGAAATTCATGGCCACGTTGGAAGCCATACGATCCAAGGCAGGTATCTCATGGAAGGTACTTGATAGCCTTTTAGCAGAAGGCGGAGAAGTCAATCCGAATCTTGTTATTACGAAAACGGAGCGTCAAAAGCGCAAGAGTGACGAGCGTGAGCGCCCAGAGCATGCAAAACGCTTGCGCCTAGAGCGTGCTCAGCGTGCAGAGCGTGCTCAGCGTGCTCAGCGTGAGCGTAAAAACCGTACTGAGCGTGAGCGTGCTGAGCGTGCTGAGCTTTGGAAGAATGTATTTGCTAAGCAGGAGCGTGAGCGTGCTGAACACCAGGAGCGAGAAGTTGCTAAGCGCCAGGACCGTGCTGAGCGCCAGAAGCATGCTGACCGTGAGCGTGATGAGCGCCTGCGTGCTCAGCGTGAGAGTGTTGAGTACCAGGAGCATCTTAGACGTGTGGTTGCTGAGTACGAGGAGCGACAAATTGCTAAGCGCCGGGAGCGAGACGCTGCTAAGCGCCAGGAGCGAGACGCTGCTAAGCGCCAGGAGCGTGCTGAGGGCCAGAAGCATGCTGAGCCTGAGCGTGCTGAGCTTTGGAACAATGTTTTTGCTAAGCAGGCGCGTGAGCGTGCTGAACACCGGGAGCGTGTTGAGCGCCAGCGTGCTGAGCGCCAGGAGCGTGCTGAGCGCCATCGTGCTGAGCTTTTGGAGGGTATACTTGCTAAGCAGAAGCGTGAGCGTGCTGAGGACCCAACTGGAGAGCTTTGAGAGCGCCAGGCTTAACCCGAATTTTGTTGTCAACGAGCCTCGGAAGCCTTAAGAATAAGGGCCAGACGAGAATCGTGGCTCATGATATGAACCGATCCTATGCTTGATATGCGGCATCAATAAGGATCGATGATCCGATGCTTGATATGCGGCATCAATAAGGATCGATGATCCGATGCTTGATATGCGGCATCAATAAGGATTAACAATCTGATGCTTGATATGCGGCATCGCCAAGGATCAGCGATCCGATGCTTGATATACGGCATCAATAAGGATTAATGATCCGGTGCTTGATATGCGGCACCACCAGGGGACGAGGTTGAGAGGGGACGAGGTTGAGAGGGACGAGGTTGAGAGGGACGAGGTTGAGAGGGACGAGGTTGAGAAGGGACGAGGTAAGATTTTGTGCGTGAAGGCCCCTCCCTTGCTTTGCTCACATTTTACAGTTGGTTTTTTGACTGGCCTTCGGTCAAACTTTCCAGATCAGTCTGTGTAAAAATTGGTCCAAGACGGCAGTCCCAATGCATTATACACCTCGACCAAGCATTGGCCGATCAGAATTTCGCAATCACAGTCTATACCGTCGGCTCATCATTGCCAAAGCCAAGGATCCTGTGATCAGCTGCACTGTTGAAACGACAACTCAGTTGATCCTATCCCGACGCCGACTTCAAAGGATACCCAGCCGGCGCCAACGCATCAACTCAAGAATGGCGGATTATGGATTGATGCACAACAGCCCATAACTACCTATGGAACTTGCCAGATTGGAAACTTGGGGTTGCTGCTGCTAAGATATGAGTGCAAGTTGGGGTGGATCTCTTGACTTATGACTTCCCATTTCCTTCTGGGCGCGCCTGGGACGCCCTCGCTAAGTCGATAACCCCCGTTTCTCCGTCGCTGCGTCGACGGCATCAGCAGTTTGTCTCATCCTACAGAAACTACTCATTACTAGAGAGAGTAGAGCCACCACAGAAGTTTTCGACATTCCGTACCACTTCGACTCCGTACGCCGAGGTGCGCTCCCAGTCAATGTGGAGGTCACAAGGCACTTCCCAAAGGGTTCGATATCTCACTCCTGATGAGGCAGCTGTGCAAGCTATGAAAGCTTGATTATTGACGTGCTTCCATAGAGCGGCGCTTCCGAACCCGACGCAATGCAGAATTCGGCCATCGGCATGTATGGAGCATTTACCACAACATCAGTGGTGGGACGCGTGGCGAGAATGAGATCCCCCGATAACCAGAAGAGAGGGGCACTCATGGTTTGGGAATACGACGGCAGCTATACCGAACTCTCCGGGACATAGGACCATATCGCGAACATACTCGAATCCACACCCAAATGCATCTTCGTGGATGAGTCAGGGTTGACGAGCCTCCAAACAAGTCCTTGATCAAGGCGGCGTCAGCGTACTTGAGGAACGGGTCCCTCATGACTCCAACGTAAAGACGTATATGCCACAAATCGCTCGTTGGATCAAGACTTCTAGAGATATGTTTACACATTGAAGAGGCCGGCCGTGAGGGTGTACGCAATG